AAGTAGAATATTAGATGATGAAATTGCTAAATCAAAAAGCTTAAAATTTTATACAAGTAATGATAGTTCATTAAATGATCTTGATTTTAACTCTCTTCTCTTAAACGAAGGTGAATTAAATTCTCATTGCCAATTAATTGAAAATTACTACTTGTTAATTATTATTAATAATCTTTTTTATTCACATTTAATTAATAAACATTAGACTCTAGTAACAACAGTAAAGGAAAAGGTGTTGAGGTTGATAAAATTGGTGAATTATCAATGGATGATTAATTTAATCACCATGACAAATTTATCTTTTTATAATAATATTTTGAAATTTTTAATTCTTTTTCCAGTGAGATAAATATTTATCATCGGATGTTTTCCTTTTTTCATTTCTCCCCTTATTATTGTTAACTTCACATTTGTAATTGTTCTTTAATTCTCTTGTTTCATAAGGTCACGCACATTATATATAATATGAATACAGCATTGTTGAATTCATGCCGGTGGTGAAAACATCATTATGTGAGAATTCTTTATTGGTAGAATTTAGCACATCGATCGATGTTATTATTAAAATGTCTGATAAAATCTTGGAATCTGAAATTTTCAGTAAAATAGCAATTCTAAGATTTTTATACATGATAATAATAAAAATTATTTACATTTCAGTCTTTTTTCTTTTATTTGATCTTTGACAATCAATTAACTTTTCTTCGCATTGTAATTGAAAGTTTTTAGATCGATTAATCAACCTACAAAATATAATTTAAAAATAGTTTTATTTATTCATTTAATTTTAAAAGAAATAAAGATGAAATTAGTTTATTTTATCAATTGAGATTGACCAATCTAGGAAAAAAAGAAAATGAATCAGTTTCACATATATATGTAAATATTCAAACCCGTATTAATTATTAAAATAATTTTATTTGTTATACTTTCATTTTTAAGAATTTCATTATGTTTATTATAAGCAAAGTTCATAAGCTCATTAATAGTTGGTCTTTTTGATGGATCCACATCCCAACACCTCTGCATCATTTGTGCATAATCATCAGGCATTCCAGGTAATATTGGTGGTCGTAAACCTTCTTCACATATATCAAA